AGGGCAAGAGGAGGAGGAAGAGCAGAGGAAAGTAATGCAGAGTGACATGATCAATCTTACTACAAGGACAGGGGAGATAACTCTCACTTTCAGAGAGGATCTCTGTAGTTAATCCCAAGGGCCTTGGAGTCACACATTAACCTTCAGGGTTTGGATCTGGGATGTGCCCCAAAGGCTCAGATGCTGAAGGCTTGGTCGCCAGCTGGTGGCGCTACTGGTAGGGGGTGGAGATTTTTGGAGGCTGGGCACAGAGAAAGTAGGTGAGTGGGAGAGTGGCCTGAAGGGCACCAGAGCTGGGGAGAGAGCTCAGCAGCTGAAGTGCCTATCTGAAAGGCACAACAGACCCTGGCTGGGAGGCGCACATTCCGTCACATTTCCTCTTCTCTCTCTCCCTCTTGTGCTTCCTCCCTCACTCCCTTCTCTTCCTCTTCTTCACCCATGGCAGCCTCCTCCTGTCCTCTCCCACCGTAAGGTCAGCATCCTTGATCTAATGCACTCGCTGCCAAATGATGTTCTGCTTCACCACAGGCCCATAAACAATGGGGCCAACTGACCATGGACGGAAACCTCTGAAACCACGAGGCAAAATTAATCTTTTTTTGTTCAAGTTGTTTCTCTCAGGTATTTTTTTTTAATTTTATTTATTTATGTATATGTGTGTGGCCAGCTCAGCCCACCAGGGGGCGGGGCTGGCTGGCATGTGGTGCTGGGGATTGAACTGTGGTCCCTGTGCTTTGCTAAGCTTGTTCTAAGTAGGTGCATTAGACCACTCAGCCATCTCACCAGCCCTCTCTCAGGTATTTTGTTGTGATGAAAGAAAACAGACACGTTAGTTCTCAACTTGCTTTTTTTTTTTTTTAATGTACCAGAAATTGAACTCACTGTGCCACTGAGCTATCTCCCTGGCAGCTCTTTATTTTTTTATTTTTATTTTTATTTTTTTTAATTTTTTTTATGTGTGTGTGTGTGTGTGTGTGTGTGTGGCCAGCTCAGCCCACCAGGGTGCGGGGCTGGCTGGCATGTGGTGCTGGGGGATTGAACCGCGGTCCCTG